ACACACACACAGACACAAAGAGAGACCGTTATGTACAAAGAAATCACTGCACTGGGGTTTAAACGTGCACTTCCTGTTTGCACCTTAAGAACGGCCGAGGTGTTGACGTGGATCAGTCGAACCTCTGACAGGATGGTCTTCCACACGTCCGACTCCACCTCCCTGTTTGAGATGTCCTGAACACAAGCACACACAACTATGGTTCACCCGGAGAAGAAACACCAGGAGTCATATTTGTACTTTCCTGTATTTGTTTTGAAAGTTGAATAAGGGCTGGAAACAGACACAGTTTGTTACTCTAACTGTTGGCATCATAGGTATTTTTCCTCATTTTATTTGTATAAAAATGTGAGATTTTTGTTTGCATTGGCGCACCAGCTAAGAAGGAGAATCACTTTTATTGACTTGAAAATTCAAAATTTAAATCCACTTTTATTTTTTCACACAGTTAACGCCTCAGACTCACCACTCTCCACAGGTTCTGAGCTGCCATAGAAACGTTGAAGTTGATGTAGCCAGAGACCTCCTGGGCGTGAGGACTCATGGGAGCTGCCACGTCATGGCTGAAACAAGAAACTCAGGTTATTTATGATTGAAAATGTTTTCTGTTAATTTTTTCTGTTTCTGTTGAGAAAGCCAGGATGGTACTGTCTCAAATCAACCAATCAATAAACTGATTCTAAAAAAGACCTTTAAATTTGCCGGTTCATCTTAGGTTAGTTATCTTAGTTTGAATTAAAGATGTCTGATTTTAACTTTTTGATATCCGATATGCCGATATTTTTCAAACACTTAATTTCTGATTCCGGTATCAACCAATTCTGATGCAGGCCTGGTAATTTATTTATTTATCTGTACAAACCACTGTATGAGTATGAGATTAATAAAATGAGCTGCAATGCTGCCACCTAGTGACTTTCACTTTAACACAACGGTTTATACCCAAAACAATTTTTAGAGTACACATCATTTGGGGAAACCCAGGCATTGCGTTATCGGGTTTTCCATTATCATAACAATTCTTACGGATATAACATAATTATGCTAATATGGCTGAATATATCGGTATAACAGTGAGATTTTCTCAATTGAAAAAATATCGGCCCTCTGTAGAAAGTAATTTATTTAATTTCTTTTTAGGTCATTATGTTTAACTGTTTAAAAATGTTACCAAACATATGGTTCTTGGATGAGAAAGAGTCCGTGATGTTTGGGTTGTTTTTACCTGTTCAGGAAACGTGAGGTCATGCCATGAACTAGCTGGATGACATCACCATGACGGACAGGCCGGGGGGGACTGCTCACCATCATTTCCTGTCTGTTACAGACAAACTCATTAGACAGAGAAGCAAACTTCCCAGCATGCTACAGAAAAGGTTGTCCTTCTACCTGTCGGGGTCTTTGACAATCCACCAGTTGTTGACGTCTTTGAAGGGGTAACAGGTGACCTGCTGCTGGTGGGAGCTGCCACGCCCGTTTTCGTACCTGAACAAATGCACGTGCAAAAGGAGAAAAACATTTTTTAGCTTGCAGTCTGTGATTGGCTGGTGGTCATGTGAGCCTGCAGCACCTGATTGGATAGTTGGCTTTGTGTGAGTGGGCCAGTAGGGGCTGAGAGGTGAAGCTTTTTAGCGTCACCTGACTGCCATAGGCCACTTCCAGGGGCTGACCCTGCGTGATCCGCGAGAGACCACCCTGAAGACGGAGAAAAGTGGATAAAAAACAAATTATACCAAATATATTAAAAAATAAAATTAAAAAAAAAAGGAAAAGGAAAAAAAGAAATACTTTGTGTGTGTATTTATTAGTGTCTTACCCGAAGACTGGCCTGGAAGGCTGAGCTCATCAGCTGGTCATGTGGACCGCTGTGGCTCAGGATACTCAGATGAACGTAGAACCAGAATACATAGAGCAGGACAGGAAGGACCAGCAAGCAGAAAAATCTACACACACACTGCACGCACACACTGAGCTGTACAGACGGGAACATGAACACACAAACACACCGTGAGTTCGGTTTATTACATTGAGTTTTAGTGTGTGGTCTGTGGATCCAGACTCACGTGACTGACGGTTCGGTCTCCGATCAGGTTCCAGGTGTGCAGAGAGGCCACACCCAGCAGGAGCAGGTACGAGAACAGGCCCATGTATTTAACCCTGACATTATACACACATATAAATACACACACCCTTCGGTTAAAACCGTCACGTCAAAAAAACAGCCGCAGATGATTTCCTCACCCGATGGCCGCACCGCAGGAGGCTCCACAGAGGAGCAGCCAGCCAACCCTGAACTATAAATACACACACGCTTCGGTTAAAACCGTCACGTCAAAAAAACGGCCGCAGATGATTTCCTCACCCGATGGCCGCACCGCAGGAGGCTCCACAGAGGAGCAGCCAGCCAAACCTGAACCAGGAGCTGAGGAGCAGAGGACCAATGAGAAGCTGAGACATCAACAGGCAACTCAGGCAGCTCAGGTTAAAGTTCAAAAGGTCACCCTCACCTGCTGGGAGCGTTGTAGAAGCACAGGTAGGAGAAAAAGGCCAACAGCACGAAGAAGATGAGAACGGACTCCAGTAACATGAAGCGTGATTGGACAATCAGGGAGTTCTCTAGGACGTGAAAGGAACGTAAACGTTTGGACACAAGTGCTATATAGCATAGCAAGATATAACAGCATATCAAACGTATTATTACCAAATATTATACCATATTATATCATATTACCATAGATATGTAAATTTGATAGCTGGATAGATGTATATAATCTAAGTACATCGTGCATATATATATATATATACATATATACACAAACATGAATACACATAAATATATATTTATACACTCACAAATACTAGGGATGTCCTATATTAACTCTTGCTGTTATCCGATATCATCCAAACTATTAATTTCCGATTCCGATATTATTAACCTATACCGATATATCCCTGGTTATATTTGTTTATTTATCTGTAGAAACCACTGTATGAGTATGAGATTAATCAAATGAGCTGCGATGCTGCCATCTAGTGACTTTAATATATCTTATCCCAAAACTATTTTTAGAGCATGTGTTAGTTTTAGCATGCATTGTGTTAGCTGGTTTACAGTATCATAACGATTCTTACAGATATTACATAATATGCTATCGGGCCGATAATATCGGTCAGCCGAAATTATCGGGTGAACCAGTGATCTTTTTTGCAGTTACAGTTAATTAAAAATAATCAGTAACACCGGGGGCTGGTGGTCTTCATTCTTATATGCGTATCCAAACAGAGTGGTTCACTGAAACAGACACTGTGTAAGAGTCGACCGCTGCCTTTCAGGTGAATACGAATGAATATCAACAGGTCACGGTCTTGACACGTGGTAAGTGTTGTGTTTCTATAAAGCAGTGTTAGGCATTAACACTGCACTCACCCAGCAATAACAGCAGTGCAGCTCCCAGAGCAGAGAGGTGAGAGAATTTTAACTCCAAAGTCAACAGATAAACCAGGGGAACACAGAGAGCTCCACACAGAGCAGGCAGGAACCGCAGAGTCCAAACACTCACGCTGCAAGGATACTCTGTACCGACAATGAAACAACACGGGGTTACTGTAGTAATACCTTATGATGAACACAAACACAAACAGAGATTACTGCAAAACATTTTATTTTATACTTTAAGAGCACATACATTAATACTAATAATAAATAAAATAAAAATAAACACAGCAACTCTGATATAAACCTAGCTGCGAGCTCTTCTCCACTGCACTGACTCTATAGGTGCCCCTTTCCGACAGCAGGGGCGCTGTTGTGCACTGAACTTATGCTGTAATTCAACACCCCATTCAATTTGTAAAAGAGAAACTGGTATGATAATGACGTTTTCCTGTGTATTTTTTAAAAATTATTTCCCCTAATAGACAAAAACAATAAAATGCATAATTTACATAATTTAAATCTTATACCACATCTGACCTAACCAATGCATTTATTTATAAAAATTGTTTTTAATGGCCGATAGTGGATTATACTGGTTGTATTTGATTATAACATTTCAAAATAAATTTAAATATTTTTAAATATTGCATTTAGCAGTTTCTAATCATTTCCAGATAAGATACAGTGATTGGACCGAGCCCAGAGTTTCTACCTGCTCCAATTCTGTTCCACAAAGTTTCCATCAAATCCTCCCAGATACACTGCAAAACAAGCACACACACAGTTACAGGTAAAGGGGTAATACCGAAGATTGCGCATGTCACACTGTGGCTATACTGACCTCCGAGGGCCAATATCATGTGACCAAGAGGTGGTCCACTGTCATCGATGAAGAAAACTCTCTTCATATACAGGGACACAAACTGGCCATAATACACTTCATCGAAGCTAAAGACGCAGAAAAAAAAGGAGACAAATACCTGAATGATGAACAACTAACGGGGAAATGGGTTTGAATGGATTCAAGTCCAAGTGAATGCAACACTCACACCACAGCGTTGGGATAGCTGAGGTGGCACAGTCGGGTCCACAGGCTCAGCACAGTGATCAGCACAAGGACCAGGTCCACCTGAGCCGTAACCATCAGGGGGAGCTGCAGCATCAGACTCGGATCTGATGTGAGTGAAAGTTAAAAGAACTGAACAAGAATACCATCACTATCACTGTTTACCAGAACCTATTTACTATTTCAACTGTGTTTACAGCACCATCTACAGGTTTGTAAAAGTAACATTCCATTCCTTCATTATTATTTGGATATTTATTTTAAATATATTAAAATTTACAAACTTTTATCATACTTTTACGTCAAATATTTGCAGTGTCAATAGAAATGATGTCAACGCGTCATTTGTTTGTATTATGTCCACAAATGGCTCACTTAAACATACGGTGTAGTTTTCTTGCTATAACGTTCACTAAAGCTGTAAAAACTCTACGTGTTTAAAAGGCAGGTATGGAATACCTTTAATAAAGTGTGTGTTTACGATCCGACAGGTGAGTCTGGAAGAACTACATATGTTTGAGTCCAACAGGAGTGATGCTAACAGTAGTTAGCATCAGATTCGCTGTTCTATCTATCACACAACTGTAACATTCTTAACAAATCTGACCTGTTGTTGTCCGCATGAAACACAACATGTTCTGTCGACACCCGCAAACTCAGATGCCCATTGGTTCTTTACAGTCTCGTAGTTTCATCGAATCCAAGCATAGTTTCCACAGCAAGTCTGCAGCAGCAGAAGCAGACACTCGATATGATCGATTAGTTCTGTCTGCAGATCCAAGCAGCTAGCCAACCTAGCATTACATGGTTGGCGTTACCATGGTGAGAGTAAATGGCGAGGTGAGAGGTAAATCTTTTTTTAACGTTTTCAAACTATAATTACCAGATAAGTAAAAAAAAAATCTAATCTAAGTGACTTGAGATAAACTAAATAAATATAATATATGGACCGCCAAGTTAATATAACAGCGTTCTTGTCTCCAACAGCTGCTGTGGGTTCCAGAAACGGATGTTTCTGGTAGGAAATATTCACCTGAAACACCAGTTAAAATATTTAAATAGCATTTATTTTGTGGGTTATATTTAGGACAGTAAATCATATTTAGACAGAGAGCCTAAGAACGAGATGTTTGGTTGCATTTTATTAGACTTACATTTTTTTGTGGTAAAATATACCGATTCGTTACATTGAGTGATTGACACTGCCACAGAGGCTGTCTTTCATCTGTCCTCACTTGGGATTGGCTGTAACTTTTTATCAGGATGAATGCTGAAAGATGATTGAACGGATGGCAGAACTGTCGTTCTTAAAGCGACAAACCGCAGCATATCAGCGCGATTGGCAGCTTGAATAAAATATAAACACACACACATAGATATACATTATACACATATACATCGTCCACCTGTACTGCACATTAGTACAAATATGTTCCAGAACCACCCTGAAGACCCGGGAGCTCCACCCTAACTTGCTGCTATTGTGGAACGTTAGTCCAGTGTACCTTTGTCGAATTCTTTGTAAACTGAAGTATTTCTGTCTCTGACCTTGAAGTACCAGCCTAACAGCTCCGTCTGAATAACACATTATTTCACATTTTTCCAGTTCGTATTTTGTCAGTTCATGACCGAAAGAACGAGATCAAGGATTCAAGCGGCTGAAATGAGCTTCCTCCGCAGGGTGGCAGAGCGCTCCCTTAGAGATAGGGTGAGGAGCTCTGTCACACGGGAGGAGCTCGAAGTAGAGCCGCTGCTCCTCCACATCGAGAGGAGTCAGCTGAGGTGGCTTGGGCATTTACATCGCATGCCCCCCGGACGCCTCCCTCGGGAGGTGCTCGGGTGCCGTCCCTCTGGGAAGAGACCCAGGGGAAGACCTAGGACACGCTGGAGTGACTACGTCGCTCGGCTGGCCTGGGAACGCCTTGGGGTCCCCCCAGAAGAGCTAGAGGAAGTGTCGAGGGAGAGGGAAGTCTGGGTGCCCCTGCTCAGACTGTTGCCCCCGCGACCCGGCCCCGGATAAGCGGTTGAAGATGGATGGATGGATGGTATTTTGTCAGTTACCTCTGGATGATTTTCGGGGTGTTCCGTGGTTTGAGCCTGAGAGACATTTCCCACAACGCCTCCTCTGCCAAGTGATCGCTGAAGCCGTTAAAGAACAAAATGATGTCGTTACTGGGCTGCAGAGAGTACGGACTGGAGAGAGAGAGAGAGATTTAATTAATGTTAAACAGAAGAGATCATGTAAATAAATACTTGCACGACTGCCGTCCTCTTACGCTTGCTGGTAATTTTTTAAAGTGCACAGGATGTTGAACTGTTGCCACCGTTTCGAAAAGTTTACTTTTTTTCCCTGCGATGTCATCAACGTGTCAGGATTGCCCAGGTGAACAAAGGTCAAATCCTGCAGGATCAAACCCCTAAGCAGACATTTTGATCAAAATGTTTTAAATGGACCAGGCAGGGCATTTATACATAGTGGTATTCATACGTACAGGTAAGGTATACAGGGAGGTTCCACCTCAGCCAGAGCTGCTCTGTACGCTCTAAAGGAGGAGGAGCTGTCAATCACAGAGCTGAGTTCTTCTAGAGACTGAGAAGACAAACATACATCACTCTGTATGAACTCTTTCAGACTTTAAACCATTATAAGTATCTAAATATGTGAGAGGATTTTTCAGTATGCCACATGACTAAAGTGAGCGCTAATTTAACCTATCAGGTAAGTTTAATTCATGCTTTTTAAGGTCCCACGGGCCACAAAAAATGACTCGGTGGGCCGCATTTGGATCCACTGAATCCACTAATACACCAAGTCAAGTTGACAAATAATAAAAACAAAAAAGGTAGACACATGTTGTCTGTGTTGTTAAAGTTCAGACCTCAGCTGTGCTTCTCTGCCAGTCCAGACGCCGTAACGGTGCAGAGTCCAGGGCCG